ATATATTTAAATATATATAAGAGTATTTACAACATCCGATCACGACCCTATACAAAAAATCAAAATGGAAAAAACCCTAAGTTTCCTGGCTATCTCCGGGGGAAGTCTCTTCTCCATCGGGCTCCTCCCCGCTCTCATACCCACTCTTGCTCCCATCATCATCATCATCATTAGAAGCCAAGGCTCCGGTATCGGCTTCAAGCTCTTTAGCCTTTTTACCTCTTCGGTAAGATCAAAACCTCGAGCATGGATCTCCTCGAGGGTTTCCCTCCGAGATTGACATTTGGCGAGTTCAGCAACCCAATATGCTTGAGTTTGAGCGGTCTCGGCTGCCTTTTTTGCTTGTACTTGAGCAGCTTCAGCATCGGCATGATAGACGGCCAAGAATACATCCGCCTCGGCCTTTGCTTTTTGGCTTCAGATTTGGCCTTGGCAAGTTTGGAAGCCAACCGAGCCTCGAGCTCCTCTATTTTTCTTGCTTGAACCGAGATCTTCTCCTTCATGCCTTGAAGTTGACTTTCGGCCGATGATAATTGGGCTCGAGCAGTCTCTTTTTCTGCAGCGAGGCGGTCCATGACTTCTTTCCACCCCAAGGTCTCCGCCCTTATCGTATCGACCTCCTCGCGAAGCAGCCCAATCACCTCAAGCTTCTGCTGCAGCTGTGAGATCGAAATATTAGCCACCTTCCCTGAATCAAGCCCATGAGTTTTTAAGATTATCATTACCTGCTCGGTCAGGTCGGTCTGATCTTGGTATGCGTTGGCCAACTCGGCTCGAAGATCTTTGATCTCTTCCTCTTTCTGCTCATTAAGAAGTTTGAGGGAATTTGTCTCTTCTGAAAGCCCTCGAAAGTCGGCCTCACGTCGGCTCAGTTCCTTTCGAGACTTGAAAAAATCCTCTTGATGAAGAGCTAAAGCCTATACGAAAAAGAAAAAAAGTTAGGTAAAAAATGGAAAACTATGACATCAACAAAGGGAATCAAGACTTACATGATTCAGGATTCGTTGAACCTCGAAGAAAAGACCCGATGCATCACTCGGGCCGGCAGCATCCTTAATACCAGTAAACAAATCGCTAAAGGGGTCCTCTCCCTCATGGGCCCCTTCTACCTCGAGGGTCCCCAAAGCTCGGGCTTCCTGAATCGCCCCTTCGGAAAAAAACAGGGAGAGTAGGCGAGTCTCCGATTACTATTGCCCCAAGCGAGTCGCTTGGGGCATTCTCCTCAGTTCGAAGAGCTTCAGGGCTGGCCCCTTCAGATATACCCACCGTTTGTTGACTTCGGTGGGAGGCATCCTCGATCTCCAACGACTTGGGGACTTTGGCCGAGTCTTTCTTTGACATCCCCTCAGTTCGAGATGGAGCCTCATCAAACGCCATCGACCCCGCTGCCTTTGGGACATCGATAGTATTCTTCACTCGGGCCACCAGTATGGTCCCGTTGTTTTCTTCTTCCTCTTCGTCTTCATCCCTTAGATATCAAACTGATTCTTCGGTCAAAGGGATGGTTTTCTTCCTCGGCTTACGAGCCGTCTTTGTTTTAAGTGTTGGATCGTTGGAGGTAGAGGCCCTTTTTTTTTTTTATCCTTCACCGGTTTTGGAATCGGGGCCGAAGTCTCTTCCTCTCCAGACGAGGGCCTCATGACCGCATCTTTGCCCAGGTCTACACACAAGAGAATTATTTAAGTATAAGAAAGTCATTTCGTTCGAATCATCGAAGGCATGGGAAAGAGGCTTACCATGATTTTTAGCCTCCCATCGGCCCTTTGATAAGTCGCGCCACGAGCGCTCGGCATATGTGGAGGATGAAGCCAGGTCCCGTACCCAGCTCTTAAGGTTAGGAATAGCACCGAGCATCCAAGCAACCGCTACATCATGAAGAAGGATATCGGTAAGAAACAAAGGAGAAAACAGTAGAATTATACTTATGCTTCATGTTCCATTCCTCGGGAAATGGCATCTTCTCGGCCGGGATTAGGTTCGAAGTCTTCACTCGAACGAACCTACCCATCCAGCCCCGATCCTTGTCCTTGTCTATGCTCGAGAACATCACTTTGGTAGACCGACGCTGGAGTTTTATTAACCCATCTCGATAGAGATGGGGGCTGAACAACCTAATGAGGTGGTTGAGGGTGAAAGGCATCCCCTCGACTTTGTTCACGAAGAAGCGGATCAAAATAACGATCCACCAAAAAGAAGGATGGATTTGGCCTAGGGTTACTCGGTATTGGCGGCAAAAATTGATGACAACAGGGTCGAGGGGGCCCAATGTGAAAGGGTAAGTATACACACTTAAAAACCCTTTCACATGGGTAGTAATATCTTCTTCGGGAGCCGGAATTATCACTTCTTTGTCCTCCTAATTGCAATCTTTCCTTAACTGTTTAAGATGGCTCTCGGTTTTCGAGTACATATACCTCGATACTGGCTCGCATCGACCGGGAACCGGCGAAGCTTTGTCGATCTTAAAATCGGAGGTCAGAACACACACCCCGGGAACACACTCCTCAGGTCGTGGCTCCATCGGTGTTTTGTCGCCAGCGGGCCGCGAAGGAGAAGCTTTTTCTTTTTGAAAAACGGTTTTTGACGTTTTCACCACTGGGATTTGAAGATTGAAGATAGAGGAAGATGACAAGATTTGGTGTTCTAAAGAGGGATTTTGCAGTGAAAATCATAAATTTACAGATGAAGAACTCAGAAGATACAATACGAACTTAGTAGATTTGGTGATTGGGGATCTGAAAGTAAAAAATGGTGAAGAGAGGAGCTATATACAGAATTGGTAATGACGGTTCAATATTAGCAGCAGCCGATCATCTTCTGACACACATTTAATGCCTTGGTAACTGGACCGACGGGACAACTATCACATACGTCATGGTCGAGTTCGATGCAAACGTCAGTGTATATCTAGTCATGCTATTGGAAAATAGTGTCGTTTCTCGCCATATCCTTCCCGATAAATGAGAAAACTATTTGTATATGGTCAAAACCGATTTTCGACCTTCGAATGATTAGTTAAGATTAGAATGTAATGGACCGAAGGTCGTCTTCATAATATCGAAATGAGATCTGAAGCCAGGTTACCAAGCTCGAGTTTCGGGGACCAATTAAGTTCCGAGCTCGAAGTCAATACTGAGCTCGATTTCAAATCGAACTATGATGTGTGGCGGTGTTATCGAGCTTAAGAGCCAGAGACCGACCAATATCGAGCCAAAGTAGGATCCCTCCACTATAAGAGGGATAGATATTATTTCTGTAGAGGGGGGACATCAAGGCATTCATACACTTTCATATTATTGATATTCACAGAGAAAAACATACTGATATTCATATAGAGATTATCCCTTTTTGGGCTTAGTATATTGATTCATCTTATTTGTTCATAAAATATTTTTCACTCAGTTTGGTTTGTATTTCATTCTTTATACAGTCAATACTCAATATATTTCTATTTACTTTTCGATTTGTGTCAAGTTATACCACGTATCCTTAGAACTACGTATAAATTCAACTAGATCTCTCCGTTTTTCGGGTAAACACATATGAATTCAAATACTATAATTTGATCAGCTCTTAATTCTTTTACATTTTTCTTAACACAATCAATTTAAACGAACATTAAAGAATTGACTCAAAATTAGACATGATAGCAAAACACAAGGCTTGATTTGGAATAATTAAGTTCGATTCGGCTAAAAATTGTAGGAATCTCAGTTGAACTAGATAACCCGAATGGACGAAAGTTGCACCTATGTAGCTAGGTACAATTTTTTTTTTAATGTATATGCTAAACCCAACCCCGTAAATTCATATTTACCTCTTTATATTTTGATTTTCTTTAATAAAAATCCTGACTTTGTTACTGTTAGCTAATCTTGATTCACCTGACGTACTTCGTGCAGACAAGAACGGTTTGCGCAATATCAGATGCAAGAGACTAAAATAATATATAAATCTATGACATATATTGTGATTATAGTATAAATTTTGGGGTTCGACTTTGGTTAAGAATTGGACTATTCTATGGTAAAAATAGCAAGGGCTAGCTAGTTTTCGGACTGGTCATTCAAAAATAGTCAGCGTTTGCCAAGTCATTGAAAAATAGCCACTATTTTGCTGCAATAGAGACCGGTCCAGCATAATATACTGGGGTTCGGTGCACCTGTGTATGAACTTCCAGCATATTAGGCTGGAACTCCAACACGCGGAAAGTTCCAGCATAATATACTGGAGATTCGAGCACCTGTGTATGAACTTCCAGCATATTATACTGTACCGGTATACTTTGCTGGAACTCCAATATATTATGTTGGAGTTCAAGTATACTTATGCTAGAACTCCATTATATTATGCTGGAGTTCCAGTATACTTATGCTGGAACTCCGGTATAATATGCTGGAACTTGAATTATTTTTCAAATTTTGAACAGTGTTTTCGTTCAGATTTATCTTTATATGTAAAATAGCTAAATTTCGATTACTTTGAAAGTGTGGCTATTTTTGAATGACCACTTGTAAATCTGGCTATTTTTGAACTTCTATAGTACGTAATTAGACTTGTTTGGCATACATGGCAGGGGCGGATACAACATAATAGTACCGGGTTAAATTGAAGTCATAACTTTCGAGGCCTAGTATAAATTTAAATGTAAAAATCGATTAAAATTGCAACAAATAGTACATATAAACTCATAATTCTAAAAGTAGAATGAGTTCAATATTAAAAACCTTAAAGGTTAAATCCATAAAGTTTTAATTCTGAATCCGCCTCTGATACTTCCGTGTAAGTACACTGCTAAAACTACTCTAAAAGAAAACTAGGTATGAGAAGGAAAACAAAATGGCGTAAAAGGTGGAGATTTGATACAAACAATTTCAAATTGCATGAAAATAGCAAATTAATATAATAGCCGCGAATATAGATTTAACCAAATTTAAAGAGACAAAAAAAAAAACAGTAGAGAAACAAAAAAAAAAAGAAAAAAAAAAAGAGAAGAGAAATATTGGAAGAAACTAGAATCCATTCGTCAGTTGGTCCGAGCAAAACTCTCATAAAAATAAAAACATGAAACAAAAACGAACTTAAACTTAATTGCTAGCATTGCATATAAATCTATGTTAAACATAATCCCACAAAACATTTCGTCAGCCATTTTCAAGAAAATTCACGTTACCATGCACGTAACAATTATATCACCCACCTCTTGTTAATATTTCTCAATCATTCCACATTGAGAAAACACCAGGATTTGATCCTTGAACTGATGAATCTCCTGACCAACCATTGTAATTACTTCCAGTAACTGGCATATTATCATAATCAACTTTCACAAGTGCAACTTCCTCTCCATTTCCTCCTCCTACTCCATTACCTGATTTTGAATTTGAACTTATAACGCCGAGTCCAGTTGAATTACCAAAATATCCTCCAGTACTGTAACTTCCAGTACTCGAACTTCCTCCACCATTCTCCATCAACCCATGCAAGAAAACCGGATTACTCTGAAGATAATTGTTGTAGAATTGATGAGTAGAATCGTAATGAGTATTCTGCGATGCGGGGTGAAGTTGAAGTTGTGTTTGGAGATAACTCTGGTGAAAAAGTGATGATTCTTGATTTTGGAGAGTCATTAAGGGTTGATGAGATTCAATACTAAAGGGCTGTTGTTGCAATAAAGGATAGGCGTGTAAAGGGTTATTTGAAGAATTACTTGAGTTACCATATTGGAAACTTGAGTTTAGAGCTATCATTTCTTGATCTCTTTTTCTTGAGGATTCAAGAGCTTGTGCTTCTTTTAGCCTTTTTGCTGCTCCTCCTCCTATAGGAAGAGTGTTGCTTTCGAGTATAGCTTTCACATCATAACGATTCATGTCGAAATTTGTCACTGCATTTAAGCCTCTGAATTTTATTGCTGCTATGTCATATGCTTCTGCTGCTTCTTCCTCAGTAGCTGCATGGAACATTCACTAGAAATTAGAATGGCCATTTTTGCTTTGAACTAGGGATATAACTTACTTATATAGATTGACACTGTAATTTTTTTAACACTATCAGTATATTATAAGTTATTGTAGAGCAGTTAACGTGCCTTATTTTATAGGTTGCTAATCTCACTTGTTTTAGAGCTAACCGCAGGATATAAAAATTACTCCTACTCTACACTATCGGCCTATAGAAGAAAAAAATGAAAAGCGATTACTCCCGCCGTTTCAAATTAGACGAGATACTTTACTTTTTACTCTGTTCAAAAATAAATGATACATTTCTAAATTTGGAAATAATTTAACTTTAAACTCTTCATTTTACCCATTTTACCCTTAATGAGAAGTTTTTATAACCACACAAATGTCATGGCCCCGCAAAACGTTTACCCCGTAAGCAGAGGCGATCCAAAATTCAATATTTATGGGTTCAACTTTAAGATTTTAGTATTGAACCCATTATATTTTTAAAGTTATGTGTTCAGATTTACTATTTGTTCCAACTTTAATGAATTTTTACATATAAATTTATACCTCGCGTCAAAAGTTATGGGTTCAATTGAATCCGGTTCTTTTACCTCACATCCGCCCATGTTTGTAAACTTTTAAGACCACAAGTTTCAAAAACCTTGTTCTTTATTCTTAAACTCTGTGCCGAGTCAAACTAAATCCTCTAATTTGGAACGGAGGGAGCTGAGTACAATATTATGCTGAGTTTAAGTACTTCTATACACTGGCATGAAACGTGTAAATAATATTTACGCTATTATGATCACCTAAAGTAACAGATCATAATAAATGAAATTTATAGTTACATGATAAATAAGGAAAACCATCTTCTACATGTAGTAAGTTACTTCATACTATAGTGTAAAAATTATTTATACTATTTCTTACTGAAAGTTCCCAAGTAGAGATCTTTGTTTCCAGCAACTCTTCCAATCCTTGCTTGCCATCTTCCATGCTGGTGGTGCCTGCTCCCAGATATGTCAGACAGAAAAAGAAAATTGAAGGATGAGAATAAAGATAGGAAATTTCATTTTTTCCTTTTATCTATATGAAGTTTTAATTGGGAATTAAAAAACAAGACTAGGAATACCTTGTTACACCACGATACATTGATGCACCCCTGGAGAACCCACTACTCTTCCTGGAATTATAGCAAGAAAAATTTCAAGTAATTAATCCAATGATTAGGGTTTAAAGAAACAAATTTAACTTATACCTACTACAGTGCAGTGATCTTCTTTATTATCAGTGTATTTTGACGTGTTAATTATAGCCATTACTATGTATTTTTAAGTTACTAATTCCAGTTTTTATGGTAATTACCTTTCGGTTGATTTGACAGTATAAATAATCTTTTATAGATTATAGAAATCAAAACTTTAGAAATATAAAAGAAAAAACAAACAAAATTGTAAATACAAATGAGTATGAAGGGGTTAAAAGGAGTTGTCAGTGGAAAGAAGCTATGGTCAGTCACTGCCAAGCTTTTCTGGTTCTATTATATATGGTGCCAATAATTGGTTACAATAAAAAGAATACTAGTTTACTCAGACTATTAATTTCCTATTAAAATAGAATTTCTAGAGCAAAGAAAATTAAAAATATAATAGATGGAATAATAACAACAATTATAAAAGGTTCTGACCTTCTAATTGCAGCAACAAATTCTTGCCTTGTCATGTGCTTCATATCTTCCAGTTCCTTCTCATAGTTGCTAATCTGTTCTCATTAAATAATGAATTAATAAACATGTCAGAACCAATGCAAGCATTTTTATTTAATACTTCATCTATTCTATAATTTATATTTTAATGTTTTAAGTAAGGCTAATTACTGGGAAATTAGTAGTGGTAGATGTTCCCCAGTATTTCAATGCAGCAAGATCATAAGCCCTAGCTGCCTTCTCCTCCTTATCATACCCTCCTGCTCGAAAAAATAATAAAAAGAATTAAAGAAGATTAACATTTTATGTAAAAATAAAATTAAACACATGGAAGTTGAACTCATAATCTGATAATTTACTTACCCAAGTACACTGCAAGTGATAAAAATTAGCAGCCACCCCAAAATGAAGAAAAAAAATAGTTAGCAGTAATTAATTGGAGAAAAAAGGAGATTGATTTAAAAAAGAAATAGCTTTAAAATATTATTCAGATTGAAATTTCACCTTGACGACCCTTTCTTGATTGCCCTTCCCTTCTACAGCTATTATCCCATAGATGTGCTTCATATCTTCCTGTCCATCTATGTCTACATTTCCCAAAACAAAAAAAGCATACATAAAAACAAAACTTTTTCTCCTTTGGCTTAGGAATTTCATAATATGCTGGCTCGCATAAGCCTGTCCAGCCTAAAAGGCACGACCAAGTCCAGAACGAGTACGACCATTATAAATTTAATTTAGGCATAGGAATAACATGATGAGAAATCAACAAGAATAAAAGAAAGAAATTTGTAAGTATTTAGGCATCGCACGAGCCTGACCAGCCTAAAAAACACGACCAAGTCCAAAACAAACATAACCACTCATAAAATGATGAGAAATCAACAAGAATAAGAGAAGCAAACCCTAAGTTGATAAGAAAACTTTACCTAGTTACACCTCTATAAATTGATGTTCTTTGGCCAAAAGTATCCAAAGTCCTTCTAGGTACAGCTTCAACAATACTAGTATTACTATTTTCACTTGCATTTGCTGTAGTAGTGGCAACACTTGGACTAGCACTTGTTTCACTAGTTGAACCTTTTCCACTTCCCATTGATAATGTCAAAGATTGAATATTACAAGCATTTTCTTGAAGTTCATAGTTGCCTGTTGGAGCTAAAGCATTTTGCATTGGCATAAGGCTATTGTTTTGAAAAAGATAATCTGAATCGTTCGATTGGATTTCGTTGTAATGGACTAATTCAGATTGGTTTTCATCAGATTTGTTCACTCCAAGAAAATCAGCCACCTTTGGAACTTCATTGCTTCCTTGTGTGTTCATTAAGTTCCATTCTACAAAAAATTATGAATTACTGATGAGATTAATCACACATTTTAACATGCAGAAAATACGAAAAAAAAAAATAGTATACCTTGGTTTTGGAAGGGATTGTCAATGGTCTCATTCACTAACCCTAAAGTAAAGTGATGAGATTGAGTTGTTTGTAGATGTGGAGGTAAAGATGAATGAGTGGGAGATAGTGGAAAAGATAGCCAGTTGTTTGAATTCATTTGAGCCAAAGATTTTCTTGATAATTTCTTGAATCTAATGTGTTTGGACCAATGGATCAATTCCTGCACATGTTCAAAAGGGAAAAGAAATGAATAAAACAGAAGAACAACAAATCATAAATACATTATTAGTAACATATATAATCATACATATATACAATAGAAGCATGAAACTGACAAAAGAATGAATTACCCTAAAAAGTATATGAAGAGACTCTCTTTCTCTCTCTCTTTCTCTCACTTTCTCCCCCTTTGCCTCTCTTTGGTTTATTTCATTGTTTCACTCAAGTATGAGGTTTTAGTAGAGGGAGAGAGAGGAGAGAGAGAGAAAGGAATGAATAGGTGGAAAGAGAAATAAATATTGAGAAAGAATGGGGTATTTAAATGACTGATTTTTTTTTCCTGCCAAACCCCATTGTAAAGAATGGTCAATTTTTTCAAATGAAGCTGACTGTGTTCACCACATTCCAACACTTAAGAATATTGTTGGAGAGGGGAAGTGGGTTTGCTTTAATTTAATTCAGGAGTTAAGACATTCACATTTAATTTACAATGCAAACATCTTTAGTATAGTTTAATACTATGTAATAATTATAATTTTATCAAAATATCAACAATAATAAATCCAGTAAAATCTCACAAGTGAGGTTTGAGGAGGATAAAGTTTACGCAGATCTTACCCCTACCTCAATGAGCACAGAGATTATTTCCGATAGACCCTCGGTTATCAAAGTATCAACTAGAGTAATATTTATGATAGATATTTATTAATTATCTAATAAAAAACTTAAACGTCTATATTATTTACACACAGGTGTATTACACAAAATCATCTATTTATAATTATTGTATCGATCATGTATATTTATTTTACACAATCAGGTTACGTTACCTACAACAAACATATAGATTCATGGTAAGTCTAATATGATAAAACGACTACAATAATAATTAAGTATCAATTTCGAACAAATGAGTCGACTATAAGATCAAAAGTAAAAATCTTTACAATATAAGTACATACAAAATAAAACCTTATAATAAAAGGCCACGAGTGTCTTACTATAACAAAAGCTGGTGGTCCTTTCAGTCTTTGAACTAAGACAAACCTACAGTTCCAAATGGAAAAATCCATTCTTTTTTACCAAAGGGTAACCCTACACAGAATATTAATTGAAGCAATATTTCCAAGTTGGGTTTATTGGAACTCTCTTAAATACCTCGTGGAGTGTAAAACATGACACCCCAAAGGCCAGCATTCCCACACTACACAAATCATCTCCTTTAGACTAAATTTTGACAGTTTTACATAAAGTTAATTACCCATCTCTGATCTCTTCCCTTTCACTCGTGCAACCACTTGTATATTCATCCACACCAGTCAAACATATTCTTTTCTTAGCCAAGAAAGCAATTGACATTAGACTCCACCTATTATCAACTTTAGTAAAACTAAAATTTTTACTAAGGGGATTAAAAAAAAAACACGAAAAATTTAAAGAAATATATTCAACATCTAATATATATATATATATATATATATATATATATATATATAAATTAACTTTATATAGATAGTATAATTTTTGGTGAAGGAAGTTCGGCTAAACACCCTTCCATCCATCTAGCTCTGCTTCTACGCGCACGCATACATAAATCTATATTTCAATTTCAAAATCCATTCTATGTCAAGTGTAAAACAGTTATGCCCAAGAATGAACAGTGAAACAGTGTCAAATAAGCCACTGCTATATTTTAAACTCAAAATTCATAAAAGACGACTTTAAGGGAGATAAAATAGGGGGCAATATACCATATATTTTGCTACTTTGGGATGACTACACGTTACATCATAGCAGTAGTTGTGTAACATATATCACTATATTGTCACAAAAACATAGCTCAATAAGTACCGAATGATCTTCACATTGCACTAGCAAGCTATTTTGAAGGGCAAAATGGGATGGATGTTAATTCTTAGAAATTAAACCAAATACGATTTAGGGAGAAATAGAACAATGTAAATTCAATTGATTTTTAATGACAAGCTGCAAAATTTGATATCATATGATTTTTATAAATGCACAATTAAATGCTATGCTAAACATAGTACTATAGTATAGGAGTTCTCTTTAAATGTGTAGCCATGAAATAACCAGTCAGTGGAGTGGATCCCCGAGTAGAAATAGAAGCCCTAGTGCAATGTGTACGGATAATTAAATACTTAATGTGAAAATATCCGACATATTAAATAATAAAAGTACTGCGATTGAGTAAATTTTACTCTATTAATAAATTTAAACAAGTATAATAGAAAACCTATTAATTGGAGAGAGATGAAACGATCTTTGATTGGGTTTCCAAGTAGAATTCTGTTGACCGTCTAATTGGAAATCGCACTCGTCAAAAGATTAAAAAACATAAATTAAAATGTTATTTCATATTTTATTGTTCTTTTATTAGTAATTAATTATTTAAATATTTGTGTTTGCAGTGCATGTCGACTGCAAACTAGAAGATTATACTGCTGTACAGAAGTCTCTTTGTTTCTGTGCCTTTTGTCTTCCACTCACAGGCTAAAATCTCAGTCAAATAAACAGAATTTCAAAGAGTATCATTTATAATTAACCACATCACAGTTTAATTTAACCCTTCATTAAACTAAGTTAAGCATATGGTTAATTAAGCAACTATATATAATATTTCTAATATCCAGATGAAAAGCTGACCTGCTATAGACTATTTTGGTCAGGTTATCTGCAAAACACTGCCCATGCAATCTTAGGAAAGTCATTAATTATAAATAAAGTAAGAAATATCTTCGAGAAAATAACTTTTTAAAATCTTAATTGGGGAAATATAATTATGTTCAACTTTTATATGCACTAACATCATAAATATTTTTTCACACAATCATTCACCCCTACATGTAACTATCCATAATAAATAACGCAATTTGATACAGTTATACTGGATTAATTATGCTGAGATATAGTTATACTGGGATATAGTTATCCTAGTATTATTTCTTATTAACTGTTTAGTATATTGTATCAATTCTGAGATTTTTAATTTTACTATTTTATTCTATGATTACTGTTCCACCCTCTTATAGACATAAGTTATCATGATACTATTTTTAATTCTAGTATAACATATTCCCAAGATTAATAACCATACAAGAGATATAAGATGACACTAAATTTTTATCCCATAATTATTTTTACTTATCCATCTTAGCAAACGACCCCTTGGTGTATATAAATTTATTTCCATAAAAATTATATTCTAACTCCACAGTACTTAGGTTAGCACATGGTTTACTTATTTATCCAATTTTAATATAGAGTCACTGAAGTGTCTGACATTCAATTTTTGTTAGATTGTTTTGGAACTCTTCTTCACGCTGTCTATACAGAGATTCTTTGGACAGTTTCTAAAAGCAAAATGTACCTTTTTTGACTGTGAAGGTACTACACTAGAAAGTCTAAGCTTCCTATATTTTCAAATATACTAATGTTATTAACAATCAAATTCACACATGAAAACTAAGTTGCAGGAGAATATTATAGGAAAACGCACAAAAGTTGACCAAAGAAAAATTCTGAACAATCCGATATAGTAGAAGAACTAAAACAAAAAGAAGTAGGAAATGAATAGTATAGAAATCTAATTCTTTTTAAAGGAAACACTACAAATATTTGAGTTATATGCATAATACACCCACATCTCAGTGTACAAAACTTATATCCATATATAGTGGAAATGTAATTCTTTTCCTCATTTTGAGCGTTTCTGTTTCTCCTATTGAAAGTTCGTATACACACACAGTAGCTCTATATTTGCTTATTAGAAAATGCTACAAACATCATCCGTTGCAGAATTAGAATATGCAAATTCAACAGAAAAAGATTACCAACCAACATACAACTACAAGAGACTAATATGTACATATATAATAAGTTAAAGAATATTTTTCTTTTTTTTTTTCTTTTGTTGGGTAGCTAATACCAAAGCTTCCTATTTTATATATATGTGAGTGTGTGAAACATAAGAAACAGGACCCCCTTCTCTCGCTTTTCTTAAACCGTTCTAAAGCCATTTCAAAAACCCTAATATTTTTACCCCATCCCAAAAGTCTAATAAAATGGAAGAAAAATCCTTAAACTATACTGAGAATAGATAATGAATTTTCTATGCATGAAATATTCTGACTTACCAGTAAAGAAACTTTCCTTTTTTCTACTGAAAATCTTGTTCTTTTCTTTTCTCTGAAGCTTTCTTGTTTCTCGATCTAAATCTCAGTATCTGCAACAGTGCATGTATGTATAGTTGTTGGAAAATGTGAAGAGAAGGGAAAAAGGTGGTGGGATTCGCTGCTATTTAGGGTAAAATTTTGACGTTTAATTTTCTTTTTTTTGTTTCTTTTAATTTTTGTATTTAATTTTTAATTTTAGATAGACCGCCATGCCGTTTCAGGTTTTGTGAATAGGTTCGAAGAAACATGAATGACACGTGTCTGTTTCTCGTGTCCTACTTTGACTCATGTAACCCAAATTTCTAAAGCATGAGTATTATCATTCATTAAATGAGAAGTGTTTTCTTTATCGTTTAAAAGCCAACTTGCAATTAATTTTCAAGAGTGTTAAGTTTTTTCTAATCCTAAAGAGTAAGGACTTTACCGGTTACCATAATCTAATTAGTTAGAGCAAAACCTATTTTGAAATTGTTGTCCATTGTGAGTCTTTTTTTTTTTTCTTCGAAAGAGTAACAATGAAGCAAAAGAAAACTAGCTAGAAATCAAACGATAGAAATAAAACTCCAATAATCATAACACGTGAAAAAAATGCTAGAAACATAAGTTCATGCCATTTAAAACTAGGCTTTTGACTAAAGGTCAAATTTCTGAAAGCCACGAAACGTTTTTGCTGTTAAGTTGCCTAATTGTTTTTGCTAAATATGGCTTTCTTCGCTAATTATCTAATTTTACCGGTAATATTAAGGGGCGGAGCTACAACGTTGTGTACGGGTTTGACTGAACCTAGTAGTTTTGGTTCGAACCCTATATTTTTCTTAAATTTTTTATTAATTATTTATAAATTATTAATTTAGAATCAAGTAACTTAAAACGATTAAAATTTCGAACTCATAAGCTTGAAATCTCCTGACTCCGCCTCTGGTAATATCCCCATTAGGATTTTATCGGTAACGTCCTAATGATCGAAAAATAATGAAACATACGCTTTAGTAAAAAAGATGGTGGTTGCTTTTTCCAAATTTACGATTTCCTTAAAATTATGGAATTTGTTAAGAAGGTGCTCTTTTTTTTGGTCGCTTCCTTTAT